TCATTTCTTGGCGTAATACCTGGTTCCATTTTCATAGCTCTGAGTTGTTGCTTGTAGAATGCGGTATCCGGTTCCGCGATCGTGATCTCCTTGCCCGCAACCTTTTGGTTGTACCATTCTTCATCAGGCCACATCATTAAATTCCGTAGTCCACCAGGGGCACCCGGTTCTTGTTTAACTGGCTTATTTCTACCTGCCAGGCCCAAACCCTTGATCTTCCCTTCGTAAGACTTCCGTAGCCGATTTATCTTCTCACCTGTTACGGGATCTGTGCGAGCGACCGAGGCAGCTATAGGTCCAAGGCCGTAGAGGGATACGATATCGAACTTGGGAACTGGCAGAGTCGAGGTGTAGGCTATCCGTGTTAATACATCATTATCCAACTCAAGCGCCAAAAGAAAACTAAAACAAGGCGCTTGAACAGGGAAAATCAGCAAGAAGAAGCCTTACAGGATTTGCAGAGGCCTATTGCCTCTCCAACGTCTCGCTGGAGAGACTCTAGACTTGGTTCTTCTGACAGGCCAGCTCCTTCTTTCAGGTCAATATCCATAGGATCATGATCATTACTATCGTTAGAGGACGGTTTCTGCGTATCAATACTCTTCTCGTTATTGTGGTGGTCATGCGCCAAAGGTTTCGTGTCGCTTCCAAGTGTCTCGAAAGGGATCTTTCCGTCGGCAAATGACGCGGCGATCGCGCCTGGGCCATCAGATCCATCTCTTGCGAGACCGCTAGTACTACTAGCTGGAGTTGGGCAGGAGGTGGACGTCGTTACAGTCGACTGAGAGACCGAGTGTGGCTGCATGGCGACTGACGACGGGGGAGAAGAGAGGTTAGCCGACTGGGCGGCCGTATGGGCTGGAGACGTCGACTTTGTCGTGGACGAGCTTGATTCATAGTTCTGAGGACTGAATGACATCAACGGGGAGAGATAAGTGACGGCAAAAGGCGCTTCAGGTGGTCAAACGAAGAGTGAACGCGGGCGTGGCTCCGGCGAGCCTGGATGTGGCGATGGTGGAAGGGATCGGGTCGGAGAACAGACGAGGAAGAAGACGAGCGGGCGGCATCAGACGGCGGCGGCGGCGCGGCAGAGGGGGAGAGACTGCCAGGACGAAGCGATCCAAAGCCCTCTACCGTCTTCTTCGGCGTGCGATTCGAGCAGGTGGCGGCGTGCAAAAGGTCGAGATCCTGCGGCGAGTGGCTTGTGAAGTTGCAAGTTGCAGAAGTTGAAGAAGTTCGACGTTCTTCTTTTGGGGCAGGAAAAGTTGGAGGCTGTGCTTAGTCAGAGCTTAGTCAGGACTTTCTTTTTTACCTCGCTAAAAAGTTTCTATTATTATTTATTTATCTAACGTCAAACATCAACAGGACGACAAGGCGACAAGGCGGCAGACGACAAGAAGGACAACAAAGACGAGAGGGGGAGACGCAGGCGGAGTCGAAGTCGAAGTCGAAGGATGCAGAAAAAAGGAGACGTTTGCTTTGTGTGTAACTGCTGTGCTACGGTAGTGAAGCCTCAACCGCGTCCGCCAGTCCAGCCAGGTCGTCAAATTGCCATCCAAAGGCTACTTTTCCTCCATCGAGATACTCGCAGACATCGGTTCCCATGCTGCTCGATCCGCTCCCTCTCGCGATCCAGACGCTACTGAGGCCCATCTTCTTCGCAGGCTCATGATCATGGTGCAGGCTTTGCGCTACGTGAAGGATGTCTGCTGGCTCGACACCAAACTCGGACTTGACGTGTGAAACCAGATATTCGAAGTTGCGCAGGTTCGGCTTGTACGATCCAATGTCCTGTGCCGTATATATGGCGTCGAAGAAGGGCTCCTCTGGTGCCAGTCCATCTCGCAGCCCTGCCATCGGCCCGGCCAGCGTATTGGAGAAGGACTCGCGGTCCACGTTTGACAGCGGGACAAGCTTGTACCCTTTCTTCTTTAGCCGGCGCATGGCGGCCACGGTGTCAGGGAAGGGGGGCCAGCGGCCGACACTATTGCCGACTGCCGTTGACTCTTTGTCTAGGAGATGCTCTGTTGCCGGGAGAGATTGTGTCTCCCTTGCTAGACGCTCGTAAGCCTCCTTGACGACCAGGTTGTAAGCTAACCCAGGATTATCCACTTGTATAGCCCGCTCATGTTTACCGTACAAGTCTCCAAGCTTCTTCCTGTCGGTTTTCAGGGGATTAGAGTGATCTAATCGTTGGACTAGGGGCTTGAGGGCCTCATGGATTCCACTCTCCCAGTCGATCAGGGTGCCAAATATATCAAATGAAAGGAGACGGAACGTGCTTAGGGGACGTTTACAATCCATTTCTTGTTTTGATTAGGCAAAAGCTAGTTATCTGATGTGGTGGTGCTGTCCAGAAGATGAAGATGCTCGCCTCTGTTCTTTTTTTTGTACCTTTGTTTTAATTCTAATACATTCTCGAGCATTCCCTCGGTTATTATCTAAACAAAGCTAACGTGGGGTGATGATATACTGGTTTGTCATTCCCTGCTTCATTTAGGTCATGTAATGTGGGGGGCGATCTTTCTCTTTTGTATAAACAAGGCAACTATACCGAGTCGAATCGGTGCTTTACAAACATTATACCATTAATATATTTTTAACCCATCTAAACAGCAACGTTCTGGTTGATGACTTCGCCAACCGATTTCCAAGTAGCACCAGCCGGCATGGAAATAACACGTCGTTCCTTCTTCTCTAGGCCAACGAACTCTGGAGGAAGCACGTTGTCAAACGAATACCCCTTTTCGTTTCGCAGAGCCGCATCCACCGCTTCAGCAAATTTGGCTGGATGTGCGGTCGACAATGATATGTGAAAGGTCTCTGCGCACCGAGATATCGATCTCAACGATGCTGCAACTCCAATCGCGGAATGGGGGTCAAGGATGTATCCCCCCGTTTCTCCTCTGGTGCCAGCGCTGACAGGGGTTTGTGGGAAGCAAGTCGAGTAAATGGATCGAATAGTGTCGATCGTTTGCTCATTAGATACCCGCTCACTCTCGAACTCTTGCTGAGCTGCCTGGAGAATCTTCTCATCAACTCCAAATCCTCCCTTGCCAGAGAGATCCTGAAGCCAGCTGAGAACCGTATTGCCAGCGATTTTCCGCTGCTCGTCGATATCTCCTTGACCGTATACTTTGTAAGCAAGGAACCAGAGAAGCCGCTCAAAATTGCTTGATACCAGAATGTCCATAGCAGGACTCCAAGTTTCTTTTACAGCAGATGCGCTGGCTTGCGCCTCAGGCTGTGCTTGTTTCGTGTACTGGCCAGTTTTCAAGAACCTGTCAAGGATGTCATTCTCGTTGGTGGCAATAACCAGTTTATCGACTGGCAGGCCCATTTGCTTTCCAAACCAGCCAGCCTAGCAGGAAGAACGGAAAAGATATACGTGAGCGATTAAGTTCAGGTAATTTATTGTTTAGATTATGCAAAACTCACCAGTATATCTCCAAAGTTACCTGATGGCACGACAAATCGAATAGGCTTTCCATTGACGTAGGTGGGAGATCGAATGAGGGAGAAATAAGAATGGAAGTAGTAAGTGATTTGAGCAAGAATTCGGGCCCAATTTATCGAGTTCACAGCAGCTAGCTTGTGGGTTTTGTTGATTTCAGGGTCGGCAAAAAGAGCCTTAACCATATCCTGACAATCGTCGAAAGATCCTGGAGCCACGCCATCAGTTAATTAAAAATAAAATAAAATAAAATTACTTGATTGAGTGTGGACATACCTTCAATACTGATGTTATGGACATTTTCATCTAACACAGTTGTCATCTGAGCTTCCTGGATTGGAGACACTTTGCCCTTTGGATGCAGGATGAAGACGGAGGCGTCCTTCTTCCCACGTAGCCCATATATGGCAGCTGAGCCGGTGTCTAAATACCTATCAGTAGCGTTCTATTTTTACGAGGGTTTTAGAGGATTGCATACCTCCACTCGTAGCTCCAATAACCACAAGATGGTGACGGTCCTTTCCGGTCTTGCCCTATATGAAGCATTCATTAGTTTGTCCGCTCGTCTCTAGAGGCATTTTAAACCAAATTATCGATGAAAAAGATTAGATACCTCATTCCGTCTCACGAGGAAGTATTCAAATAGGTTTCCCAAGAATTGCAATGCCACATCTTTAAAGGCAAATGTAGGCCCGCAGAACAGCTCCAAAAGATATAACCGCTTCTGCTCGTCCAATGTGACCAGTGGGGTGATATCGGGAGACCTGTTCAACCCATTCGCATCAGCAAGATAGCCACTGAACAGCAAATTATTATTTTTTGCCTGACAAAACATACCTGAATGTCCCGTAGCTGCGAGATATTATGTCCTTCAAGTCATCTGATGGAACCTCCGAAGGGGAGATGTACAATGATAGGATCTCAAAGGCCAACTCCTGGAAGCTATAGTTGCGCCACTTTGTCTCCCAGTCCGTCGGCAGTGAAGGGATCTGTTCCGGGATAAAGAGGCCTCCGTCTGATGCCAGTCCCTTCAGGACGACTTCTTCAAAGGAAAACTGTCCAATTTGTCCGCGTTAGTGAAAAATCCTCATTAATGCGATAACTAGTTGCTTGCAGGGGCTTCATGCTTGCAGGGGAAGCTCTGCGATATCGGTACATACCCCGTACGAGCCACCCCGAGAGCTCAAGTACTTCTGCGACGCCGTAGCAGCCATCGTCACACCGAAAAAGACAAGAATCTGCCTTCTGTCGGTGCAATTATAAGCGTTCAATGAACGGTAGGAAAAGGTGAAGTTGAAGAAGACGAACTCCTTGAGTCAGAAAATCGGCCTTTAGTTAACTGCAGTCTTTCTAACTGGTGGGGCAAACCACAGCCAGATTGCGCGATGAAAAAAGGGACGCCGAAGTTTGCAGCTTTTGCACCTGTGAGGCATATGTAAAGAAAACTCGGAATTTTTCAGGTTTTGACACGGACAAAGAATAATAACTGGCTGAGGAAGTGATAATATCTACTGCAGAGATTACTTTATATACTAGCGAATACAGAATGGCCAAGTTCGAAGCGGCGTTGAAGAAAATTGACGACATCCACTCGGAAGACCCAAAGCTGGCCAGAGTCAAGACTGACGCCGGAGAAGACGAGGAGATACCAGATGAGCTTCACTATGCCAACAGAATGACGGAGTATCTTCTCCAGCATGACCCCAACCCCTCCGAGCTGCTCCGCCTGGCCGTACGAGCCCAACATTTGCAGCGCTGGGAGATTCCTCGCGCCGACTACCCTATGAACCGTATGGGCTATCTCTTCTGGAGAACGGCGCAGAAGAAGCGCCAGGCAACTCATGCTGAAGAGATATGCCTGAGCTGTGGGTATTCCACAGAAGACGCCGCGAGAGTGGCTGCACTTGTGAGAAAGGAGGACATGAAGCGGGATGCCGAGTGCCAGGTATTGGAAGACGTTGCATGTCTTGTGTTTCTGGCAGATCAATTCGAGAAGTTTGAGCAAGAACATGGCGAGGATCGGGAGAAGATTGTGAACATCCTGAGGAAGACATGGGCGAAGATGTCGGAACGGGGTCATGAGCTAGCCCTGCAGATTAAGATGTCTAACCAGGCAAAGGGGCTAGTTGCTGAGGCACTTGAAGCCTGAGCATCGCCCAGTAATTGCTTCGGATATCATCAGTCGTCTGATCTCATGTCCCAATCTTTTCCAACTCGACTTAATATCAAAATAAAGCGCCACCAGTGGGATTGATAGCTCTAGCCAGAGCTATAGATGCACCGGCAGCCAAACCCCCAACAACAACCATCTGTAACCCTCCTTTGATACCAGCAACTATATTTTCCTTGCCTGTCCAACCTCGAACGACGCACGTCTTGACGTAGCCAAAGACCAACAATGTGAAAATCATGATACCAATACTATAATACAGCGCCACCAAAACTTGATCAACCATGAAATAAGGAATAAGGGGAATGAAGCCGCCAATAAAGTATCCCAGTGCAAGGGTGATGGCAGATATCCATGCCTGATGGCATCCTGGCTTGGCTTCTTTGTGATAGAAAGTGAGAAGGAAGTCGAGGAGTTTCTCAGGGGAGTTGTATAAGATATGGCTCATTCGAGCCACGGGCTCCTCTGGGAGGTTGTATGGAGCAAAAACCTGGTGGATGATATTCATTGTTTCCATGGGGGATGCTTTGACTAGATGTTTTGTCTCTCGAACCGTGGCTTCGTATGATTCTCTAGGCGCTGTTAGATACGTTTTGTTCATGTATATTGGTGCGTGTATGCGTGAATCTAACTTACACTTCACTACGAGAGCCAACGTATCCGCCCAGGCCCATGGATATAGCACCGGCAACAAGTTCAGCCAGCCCACCGACAACCACCACTCTCGAATTCCCTAGAGCAGAGAGGCCGGCACTGAGAGCAAAGGGAACTGTCAACCCATCCGAGAGGCCCAGGATAGCATCAGAGACAATTCGGGGGTTCACTCTAGGTCGAGTAGAGGAAATACTGCTAGAAGTCTCTGTACTCTCCGTTGGCGAAGGGGGAAATGTCCCATACGGCGAAAAGGCCTGTTCCTCGAGGTCCTGCGGGCTCCAGTGGCTGTGTCTGCCACCGAGCATAGGCTGGTCTGCTTGTTGCTCTTTGGTTAGTATTCCTGCTTCTTTACCATAACATTCGTGTGTGTGAGGAAGGATCAGGGGGCTCACCACTCATGCTGGTATCTTCTGCTGCCGCTCTAGCTCTTCAGAAGCAGAGCACCTAGGGGCTATGCTTAGGGAGTTGCTTAAGGGGGATGTGTACTTCACAACCAGCCAGCTCCTCAGGTACGAACGTCCTTGGTCCTTTTATCCTTTTGAAACAGCCTTGGAATAGGTAGTTATCCAGGGCAAAATGAAAAAAAAAGGACAGTAAGAGTTCTAGGCGTTGGTATCAGGTCGGAGATACGGAGTATAGATGCCCAGGACTGGATGTAGTACTCCGCAGGCGCTCAAAGCATGCCTTTACACTGGTAATAGATGGTTCCTCAGGGGGTTTGGTTGTCCAGCTGCAGCCATCAAGACATCCTCCTCGTCTTCCACAGACGGGGTAGCATCTCTTTTATAACCTCCTCCCCCCTTTTAACTCATGCTGGTCTGCCGTCTATCATTAACACAGCTCTCCATGCACTAGATGACGGGATCTGGGAATGTACACTGAGCGCAGCCAATGGGGGGCCCGCTTATTGTAAGCAGCAGGCTTTCTCCTTGCAAGCCCTGCTTCCCCATCGCCCGCTGGGCCACTCAGCGTGAAGGTGATTACTTTCCCGCCTCTCCGACTTGATGGTTGCGAAGGTGAGACAAGCCGCAAGGTTTGGCCAACTTATCAGTTTAACTGACGACTCCCAAGGTTGTGGTTCTGGCCGTGGCAGTTGGCGATGGTTGTTGATATTGTTAACTGTTATTATTATTAATATACAGAGAGGCAGCTTCATTCTTCATAGACGGACAGTACAGAGAGAAAACGGGAACATTCCAACCCGCCATAAAAGAGTCAACGATCCCCCAGCGAGCAGCCAAACCAGTAACTAACAGGGGGGTTTAACCAGGCAGATCATGCGCCCCCCTCGCGCTTCGCGTACTCCTCTTCCATGCGCTCTTCGTACAGTCGATCAACCTCCTCCTGCGTCATCACGCCGGGCACTCTACCCGACGCTGTGGGCGGGACATTCGTGGTCGTTTCGGCAGTGGCGGTCATGGTGATAGTGGTATTTGGCGTTGATAAGGGGTCGTTCATGTTGCTTTTGCCGTTGGGGCCCACGGTGGATTTGTCCTTTTTCTTGGATTCTGGACCCAGTGGCACAGGCATCTTTGCTGCTTGTGTTCTGTCTGTTTGCACGATTTGCGTCTTCTGTAGTTTTGGAGGTAGCTTTCTGGTCCCTGTTCCTGGCCGTGTCTTGTTTTTGGCTCCGACGGGACTCTTATATAGAGATGAGTCGAGTTGGTGGCGAGTTAGGCAGACACGTCGCCACTTGATCGATGTTCGTTCCTGACCTGGCTATGATGTAATAGTTTATTTAGGAGTGAGTTACATACATGTGAGATCCTGTCGATTGACTCGGGTGATATAGACAGGGGAGAAAGTTTAGGGCTCTCTCTGTATGGGGTGTAGATATCTACATATGCTGAAAAACATGGGGTCGTCTTCTTCAACCTCCTGCCTAGAGCAAGATGCGGCCGTAGCCAGATCGATGAAAACAGTAGTATTCACGTAGAGTGACAGAGCCAAAGAATGTGCCTCTCAATGACCCGAAGGCCATTGAACAAGACGAGTCCACCGCGACGTGCAATGCAGGGTCTCTTCTGTGGAGAGTCGCCTTTGTGAGCGCGATCCCCGAAACAAGGTAAGTATGAAGAAGAGAAGAAGAGAAAGAAAAAAAAACTTGCAAAAGGCGAGCGAGGCCGGCGGCGTTTTTATAGTCGCGGCGGCCGGCGCTAAAGCTAAGCGAGAAACGGAAAAGACGACCTGATTGGACAGCCAACATTGCTTAGTCAGCTGTGATATCAAGCGGCCGCTGAGCCGCTGCAAAGATCCATGGAGAAGGGGAGGAAAGACGTGGGAAGGTGGACGTTGAATTCGTTGGTATCATTGTCATTCTTTACGTGCTAGCTTTTGGGAGATAGGCTCCCTGATAACGCAGATAAAACACAGTAAGCCCGCATGGCAAAGTCAAGAGTAGATGGTGGTGGTTGTTTAACTACCAAAAATCCCTTAGTCATGGGCTCTATCCTGGACTGAGATATCGACTGCTTTCTCGTTGGCGAGTCGCTTCTCCTGCTCGTTCTTATGACCTTTGTTTTCCACTGGCTCGCCCTTGCTGCTTCCAGCACTCTTCTTCCCTTTGCTCCGCGCCGTGCCTGCAGAGACAGGGGCCATTTGAACCCACCAGGAGACAGCCGCTGCGCGTTCATTGCAGAACGGGAAGTCCTTGGAGTCATCCTGAGCCCACCGTTTAAACACGGCATCGTTCATCTGGGAGGTGTGTGCCATTACTTCTTGGGTTGGGGCTGGTGGTGTTTTCTGCGCAGGCTCATGCGGAATCTCTGGCTGCGTAGCCGCCGGTGTTGCTGGGTCCGCCGTTGCTTTCTTGTATATGCTGTGGCCTGGGAGAGGGGCAGGTGCACAGAGGGTTTCCCATGGTCTTATCTTAAGCCAGTTATCGGTGCGGTGGAGGATTTCCATCCAGTCGGAGCGGGAGGGAGATCGGGGAGCCAGGAAGATGGGGTACCCGTCACAGATGCGTGCGACTCGAGCTACCATATGAGCGTGGCGGACGAACTCCTTTTCAGGTGTCTGAAGGATGGAATGACATATCAATATGGAGTGGAGGGCGTCCGTAAGCAGCGGGTGGTAAGTCACGGCTTCATGACAGACGTCCGAGCTTCGGACTTGCTGGCCAGCAGTACCTTGGTTGGACACGGTTAATGCATCTGATTCTTCGGGGTAAGGTGGGAGGTCTGCAGGAGGCGTGGATGAGAAGAGGTCTGACACAGGATAAATCTTGTAGAGAGTAGCAAAAGTGCCGTCTTGTAATTTAGACGGGGTAGGTCCTGGGGTATATTTGATCAGAGAAAGGAAGGTAAGATAGTCGCGAAGGGCCCGTCGCGCATTCGACTTGACCATCTTCCGCTCCTCCAGCCAGCGTCTATGTGCCTGTCTGTCTTTTGGGTCACCACCGTTCTCTTTCACTTCCAGAGTGTCATCATCGCCAATTGTCGGTCCCTGCGACTCCTTGGTCTTCTCATAAGCAGTCAACGCCTCGTGGATATGTTGACACGAAATACTCAAGTAAACTCCAGCCCTATGGAAGAGCAGTTGAGCCTCCAATCCATGTGGCTGGTCGTTTTCATCTATCTTCTGGTTGAACCGTGATGGCATCATTTTTCGTCGACTGCTTTCAGTCACCACTTCAATGTCCTTTCTGGTGTCTTCATGTTGTCTGCCACAAGCACGACAAGCAGCAAGTCCCTCTGTGAGGTCTCTCGCTGCGCCTAAGAGGTCGTCCTTCAGCATTTTTGCCACAGCTCTAGTTCTGTAGGTAGCCCCGTCCAACTGACGCATAGCAATGATATCATCCAGCGGCCGCAGACTTGTGCATTGCACCAGAGAACGAGATGGGATCTTTTCATGGAAAAAATGGACGTATTTCGCGTCACAGTCATTCTCGTTCCGTTGTAGAACCAACTTTGCAACTTCTTCGAGTGCGGATGCAGACTGCATCGTGGCAACACTAGCTGCAATCTCATCAAGCGCATATGCCTTGGATAGCTTCTGGGTGGCATGTTCCCGCATACGGTGCCGTCGTTCCCGACTCAATTTCATTGTACCGTCTCCTCGACTCCCTCGCACACCCGAACCCCCCATGGGTCCCCCTCCATTGCCACCCAGAAGACCGTATCCCGAGCTATATGAAGAGTTCCCCAGCGAAGATATTGTTCCATTCGCTGCACGTACAGCGAGATCTGTGGCTTCTTCGATCAGCCGACGGATCTTGATGAGGTCGAAGAAGACCGCCGGGTCGATGGGCTGTGGCTGCGGAGAGGCATAGTTGCTGTATGCCAGGCTTTCAAGTATCTCGGGAGGCAACTGGAGCCATGGGCCAT